CTTGTGGCCTTGCCTGCAAAGGAACGATACTCTTCACACCTTCCTGTCTTCCACATCCATCACGGACCCCAGCATATAGATAAAAAGGATTTTTATTTATTTATTTTTTGGACAGCATAGAGCACTTACCCACTTACCCTAGGTACTGTGTAGATAGGGCATGTAAGACAAATATAGTTTCCATTTCCTAAAGCTTTCAGTGTAGGAATGTAAACTGTAAAGTTTGACCCGTAGTAATTTCACACTGGTAGTTCTCTTGGGTGTTATTTGAGTTGATGTTGTATTTTGTTTGGCATATATTTGATCGCTTGCATTCTCTCTTTTTCCCATGAAAAAAAATTACCACTACTTAAAAACATGATTTCAGCGCCCGGCGCAGTGGCGCAAGTGGTTAAGGTCCTCGCCTTGCACGCCCGGGATCCCATATGGGCGCCGGTTCTATCCCGGCAGCCCCACTTCCCATCCAGCTCCCTGCCTGTGGCCTGGGAGAGCAATCAAGGACAGCCCAAAGCTTTGGGACCATGCAAGCACGTGGGAGACCCGGAAGAGGCTCCTGGCTTCGGATTGGCATAGTATCAGCCGTTGCCCGCACTTGGGGAGTGAATCATCAGATGGAAGATCTTCCTCTCTGTCTCTCCTCTCTGTATATCCGCCTTTCCAATAAAAAAAAAATAAAAATAAATCTTTAAAGAAAAAAACAAACATGATTTCATGTCTTGATGAGCATGTTTAGCTCTCTTTGGGAGGAGTGGAATAGCATTATAAAATGTCCCCCACTGTGGATGGGCAGGTGCTTGTCCACTGAGTGATGTTCTTCACAGCAGCACATTTTGTTCACTTACGTGTTTTGCCTCCCCACCACTTTTGAGTTGTTAGTGGCAGACCAGAGATTCACTTTTGTTTCCTGCCTTGGTTCATTTTCTCCAACAATAGAAGAAAATATGCATAATCAATTTTAGGAAAGTCTTCCTTTTTTTAAGATTTTTTAAAAAGATTTATTTATTTTTATTACAAATTGAGATGTACAGAGAGGAGGAGAGACAGAGAGAAAGATCTTCTGTCTGATGATTCACTCCCCAAGAGAGAGCAATGGCCGATGCTATGCCGATCCAAAGCCAGGAGCCAGGAACTTCTTTCGGTATCCCACACGGGTGCAGGGTCCCAAAACTTTGGGCCGTCCTTGACTGCTTTCCCAGGCCACAAGCAGGGAGCTGGATGGGAAGTGGAGCTGCCGGCATTAGAACCAGCACCCATATGGGATCCCGGGCACTCAAGGCAAGGACTTAAGCTGCTAGGCTGTGCCGCCGGGCCTGAAAGTCTTCCTTTAAAGCATTTAAATATTTTGGTATTTAGACAGTTGTTACTTTCGACTGAATGCTGTGTACCAGATACGTTAGATTAAGTTTCTCCTTTGAGCTCTCTATGCACTTTATACTAAGACAGATAGTTTTAAGTAGATGTGATGCAACCAAAAATGTGGCCTGCTACCTGGCCAGTTTAATTAAGAAACGCACCATCAGGAGTTGTCACACAGTTATTTATTTGCAGAAAATGTGTTGACCACAGGGAAGTGTTTACAAAAACGTTGACTCCCCAAGTAGGGGGAAATGGGTATTTTTTATGTTATAAAGGAAAATGAACATGCAAGAGTAGATTTCTTGTCATCACATGCTGGTGTGACTACAGAATTTTTGTAGACAGTTCAAAATCATGTTCCAACATAGGTTGGGGTAGGGTAATACCTAGGGTATCCTCCTAGGGTAGAGATTTTAGTATTGAAATGAGTGATGACCTTCAGATATTTGCTGTTGCTTTGCCTTGGTACAGCTGTTGGCCTGGCTTCAAGGTATAGACCCAGTCAGCGTGGCTGGTGATTGCATCTCTCCTGGAATGTGACAGAAAATCCAAAGGACAACTTTGGAGAATGTCAGGTGCTTTGTAAACTTTAAGATATGGAAGTAGAAATGAATCCCAGTGAAGGCTTTTGAACTGCTCCAGGCGTTAGGTAGTTGTACAACTTTGGGTAGTGTGAGAAGATTTTTTTTAACCTATTTGAATGCAGAGTTACAGAGAAAGGTAGAGACAGAAAGATCTTTTATTTGCTGGTTCGTTCTCCAATGGCTGCAATGGCTGGAGCTTTGCAAGGCCACAGCTAGGAGTCTGGAGCTGCATTTGGGTTTCCCAAGAGTGGCAGGACCCAAGAACTGGGCCATCTTTGGCTTTCTCAGTCCGTTAGGAGGGAGCTGCATTGGAAGTGGATCAACCAGGACTCAAACTAGTGTTTATGTATGTAGGATGCTCATGCTAAAGACAGTGGCTGCTGTGCCATAATGCTGGCCCCAAAAAGTGAGGTTCTGTTTTAGATCTCTGATTCCAAAACTTGCCATGCAAGTGATCTTTGATCATTAATATTTTCTTACTGAATGCAAGTAAATGATATGTACTCAAAGACGAGAGAAAGTGCTTGTCTGCGTGAAGCTTACAGTGAGTTACAGAGAAAATATGTGTGTAAAAGGAGTAACGCTAGAAACAAGGGTTAAATACCTAGTTATTGATATAAATACCAAGGAGGCTCAAAGCTGCAACACCAGGAGGGCGGATGGAAAGGAGGAAGCAGGTAAGGACCTGAGGAAGTGTGGAGGAGTGCAGCCATGGTTTGCCACACTTTCTAAAGCTTGATCTTTGGGAAGAGTTGATGCTTTAGTACAGGATCCTCAGAAGAGGAATGAAACTTCTGTAGAGGGTGTTGAGTGAATTTTATGCATTTAGGAAAGGGGATAAAATTAAATAGCAAAATAAAATAAAGACAAAGTCAGTCTGGAGTGAACAGATAAAACCTCCCAGGCAGAGGCTTCAGCCCTGCTTTAGCTTGTTCATTCTTAGGCTAGTGGACCCTTTTCCTATTCAGTATGTTATCTTGAAATCAGGTAAATTCTTCCAGGTATACCTAGAATACCTGTTGAATGAGTCTTCATTAGTATTCATTTTCAAAGTAACATTTTTAAAAGAATTTAGTACACCCTCATTGGAAAAATAGCTTTGCCGGGTAGGCTTTGGCTCAACAGTTGCCTTATCAGAGTGTCTGTGTCAGTGCAGTCCAGCTTCCTGCTGAGATACACCTTGGGGAGCGGCAGACAGTGACTCAAGTGCTGGGTTCCCTGCCACCCACATGGGAAATCCGGACTGAGTTTCATACTCCTGGTTTCTCTTGCTGTTTCCGGTATTTGAGGAGTGAATAAGTGTAATGTTGCTGTCTCTTTTTCCCTGACTTTGAAATAAAATGAAATCACAATGTAAAATAAGATACAATTTACATAACTTGAAATTCATTTATTTAATGTGCATAATTCAGTGGGTTTTTACTATAATTGTGTAATTATTCAATCATTAGCATTATAATTTTCAGACATTTCATTGCTCCTTCTCTCTCACAAAGAATCCCATTCTTCTTAGCAGTCACGTCTCACTCTCCTCCCCAGTCTCTGACAGCCATCATTTACTTTCTGTGTCTATGGATTTGCCTATTTTGAGAATTCATACAAATGGATTTATTCACTATGTGATCTTTTTTGATTGACTTATTTAGTTGATTTTTTTAGATTCATTACTGTTCTAATATGTATCAGCACTTCGTTATTTTATTTGTATGTTTGTCAGTTGATGTAATTTGAGTTATGTCTGTTTTTGGCTATTAGGAACAAAGCTGCTGTTAACATTCATGGACAGGTTTTTGTGTGGACATAGGTTTCATTTTGGGGGGAGGAAATTGTTAAATGGAATTGCTGAGTCTTACGGTAACTCCATTGCCAGGCTGTATTATCTACCAGCTGTGTGAGAGCTTTAGGTTCTCTACTAATTTCCAAATTCAAATATATATCTTTTTATTTATTCATCCCAGTATCAAGCAGAACCTCACTGTGGTTTTGATTTGCATCTCTTTAATGGTTAATGTTGCTAGCATCTTCTGTTGCTTTTACTTATTTGTATTTTTCAAATATTTATTTATTTTTGATTTAAATGCAGAGAAAAGAGAAGAGACAGAAACAGGGACAGGGACAGGTATAGAGACCTCTCATCTGCTGCTTCACTCTCCAGATGACTGCTGAAGCCAGGAGGCAGGAGCTTCTTTTGGGTCTTTTCCCACAGGGGTGCAGAGGTCCAAGGACTTGGGCCATCTTCTGCTGCCCTCCCAGGCACATTAGCAGAGAGCTAGATTGGAAACAGAGTAGCTGGAATTCATACTGCACCCATATAGGATACTGCCACCACAGACAGAGGCTTAATTTATTATATCATGGTGCCGGCCCATGTTTGCTTTTTACAGACTTATTTGAAAGACTTATTTGAGAGAGAGAGACAGAGAGAGAGAGAGACAAAGAGGGAGCAAGACTGAGATCACACTGGCTCCTCCCCAGGAAACTGGACTTTATCATGTTCCTGTCTTCTGCATGAGTGGAAGGGCCCAGGTATTTGAGACATCTTCTATTTGCCTTCCCAATTGCATGGATTAGCAAGGAGTTGGATTAAAAGCAGAGCATCCAGGACTTGAACTGTTGATCATGCTGGGATGCTGGCATCATAGCCAGTGGCTTAGCTTGTTGTAGCATGATGCCTGAACATCTTTTATAGACTCATTAACCATCTTCTTTGGAAAAATGTCTGCTAGAATTCTTTTGCCTTTTTGAAATCAAGTTACAGATGTGTGCTGTGTGTTTTGCCACATTGTATATATGATGCTGGTCCCATGCAAATATATTGTCTGGTGATGTTGTAATAGTCATAGTTTTTAAGTATGCCCTGGGATGTTCACACATACATGAAATTGCCTAGTGACTTATTCTCAGAACATATTCCTGTTATTATAAGCACAACTATTTGTCTTTTTATTATCACCAATGGTCTCTCTTAACAAAGATGATGTTACTAAGTGCTAAGTAGAATGTATACCAGGAGATGCTGAATTTTTCATATGTACCAGTGGTAAGAGTTTAAGGTTTAATAGTGCTCATTCTCATAAGTAATCCTTTTACAAAATTCTGTTAAGATTTTATTTTTAGATGAATAGTACACTGAACATGACTCAATTAAGCATCCTTTGTAATTATGAAAAGGTCTAATTTCATAGCATTTTTGGAATGTCACAAGCAGTGACATTTTAAGTTTTTTAAAGTCAAATTTAAATATGTACATAAGACCTTGACTTAACCAGAACAATTCATTCTTTTCACATGTAGCTGAATATACTTTGTAAAATATGTTCTCATCTTTCCTCTCTCTCTCTCTTTTAGATTATTTGGAACACCACATGTCTAACAATTTTCCTTGCAACATTAAACCATTCATTTTCACTGCCTCCAAAAGACCAAAATTGCTCTGGAAATTGGAGACATATTTGGTTTAAAAGAAAAAACTTGAACAAATGGACAATATGTCTATTACGAATACACCAACAAGTAATGATGCCTGTCTAAGCATTGTACATAGTTTGATGTGCCATAGACAAGGTGGGGAGAGTGAAACATTTGCAAAAAGAGCAATTGAAAGTTTGGTCAAGAAGCTGAAGGAGAAAAAAGATGAATTGGATTCTTTAATAACAGCCATAACTACCAACGGAGCTCATCCTAGTAAATGTGTTACCATACAGAGGACACTGGATGGACGCCTGCAGGTTAGTGTCATAGTAGACTTCCTTGCCTTCTCTGGTGACAGATTACAAATTATTCTTAAGTATTTTTCTCGACTTGCTGTAGGATGATTTAATGCATGCTCCATCTCTTCAGATACTGTGTATCCTGTACAAAATGCATTGTGGGAATGTATGGAAGAATATACAAGATACCTCTTGAAAGTTTTTTAATGTTCTGACTCAGAAAAAGTTCAATGAAGAAAATTGGGAAAATAAAAATAAAAAGCAGAAGAAAGCTCACACTGAGAGAACTACCTTTAGCACTTTGGTATTCATCCTTTTTTTTTTATTTTTTAATAATCTTACTTAGTTGATTAAGGTGCAAAGGGTCAAGGGCTACAGGGTGAAAGTGGGTAATACCATTGTTTCCACACTAATATTATCATTTCTTCCCTGTATCTGGGGTCAGGGGAGAAACAAGGGAAAAGCCCCAGCCACTCTCCCACCCTTCCCAGATCCCCAACGTGAGACGCGCTCTGAGGGTCCTGCTCAGGCAGTTTTGATAGTTCAGCAGTTCTGGATTGCTGCCAATCTCTCCGTTCCAGTCGCCATGAAACCTATTCAGAGTCCACTGGCTGACATAGTCTCTTCATGGTTGGGGTTCTGAGATCAGCAGTTCAGTTGGACGGATCTCCAAAGAAACTTCATCTGAGATGATCCCAGACCTGATTATTGCATCAGTTTGCTAGTACAGGGTCCAACACTGTCCATTACGCCAATCAGCTTACGCACATGCTGGTTGTTGCTGTTGCTGAGTCAGTTCTGTTTCCAGCCCTGTCTTCCTTGTGAACCAATGGGTGTTGTAGTCCAGCTCCATCCTACCCACTTCATACTCAGTCCTCACGCAAACCAGTTGGAGCTGCAGCCTAGTTGGGGCGACTCCCCATAACCCCCACCAGTTCTACCCCCTACCCTGGTTCCCATGCTTGCCAGTGTGTATCGCAGGCTTGTCTAGTCTGTCCCACATCCCATTTAGCTCTCGTACATGTCAGTGGACATTGAAGCCTAATTCAACACAACCAACCTACTATCCAGCCCACACACTTACTGGCAGGTGTCTTTCTGTCTAGCCACCCCTGCGGTATTCATCCTTGTAGCCTTTTTTTCTTTCTTGATATTGTCTGAATGTTTAGAAATAAATCATCCTTAATCCTTTTATGATTTAGAAGTCTGGTATCATTATGTTTCACTGATATCAAATGTTGCACTGATCACTTTTAGGGTAGAACTACAAAATCTAGCTCCTGTGCTTAAGGGAACTTCAGAAAATTTTATGTTAGATTTCAAAATTTTATTTCTAGATTTTAGGTATAGGTTTTACAACAAATTCATACTTTTTTCATTTTTAATGCCCAAACCTCAATCTCTAGATTATACCTAGGCTCAAATTTTAACTCTGAGACATGGGCAAGTTAGTTATTTTGAGCTTTGGTTTCCTCAAAGTGAAGGCTGGATTTTTTTTTTTTTTAGGGTTAAATGAGAACACATGTAAAAGGGTCTTGACTAAAATCTGAAACATAAGTGATGTTCAACAAATGGGTATATTTTTCCTAGGTGGCTGGTCGGAAAGGATTTCCTCACGTGATCTATGCCCGTCTCTGGAGATGGCCTGACCTTCATAAAAATGAACTAAAGCATGTTAAATATTGTCAGTATGCATTTGACTTAAAATGTGATAGTGTCTGTGTCAATCCGTATCACTATGAACGAGTTGTCTCACCTGGAATTGGTAAGTGAACTTTGCTTTTCTCCTTACAAGCATAAAAGGGAAAGATCCCAATACTGTTTTAGTTTTTCTAAGAGTAAATTATAAATTTAGGTGCTAAAGGACTTTAGTAAGGCTAAAGAGTTAGACATGTCTAGTGAAATACAGATATTTAAATTTGAATTGGGAAACAAATTTGTATTTTGACTGTTAAAACTAAATTGTGACCATTAAGCACATTGATTTTTTTGGCTAGTGTTGTGAAGCAACAGGTTAGGCTCCACATGTGACCCTACTTCCTGCTAATGTGCCTGGATGGCAGCAGAAGATGGCCACATTGTTAGGTCTGCCGTCCACGTGGGAGACCTGGATTGATTTCTAGGCTTTAACCTGGCCCAACCCCGGCTGTTTTGGTCATTTGGAGAGTAAATCAACGAATGAAAGATGTGCCTATATCTCCCTTGTTCTCAGTTATTCTTTCAAATAAATAACTTTTTAAAAGAGAATATTATTTTTAAAAAATAAGATGGAAAGAATTATAGATCTGATTAGCTTATGTAAATGCTAGGTATCATGCTATTTCTCATGAATTGAAATGGTTCAAAACAGTATGTAATCTTGATCTTAAAATTGTAACCTATAATTTTAAATGTAGCAGAAAATATTTTCATGATAGTGATTAATGTTTCTTTTTTTTCCTTTAAAAAATTAAGATCTCTCAGGATTAACACTGCAGAGTAATGGTAGGTAATTTTTTAAAACTTTCTTTTGTTTTGTTCCTCCCCTGTATATAGATAGACGGATAAACAGACAGACCTAGAATTAGTTTGTGTAGAAACCAATAACATTAGCAGAAAAAATCCTTACCGTTTTTGAAATGTAGGGTTTCATAGGGGGCATACATCTGCATTTAAAACTAGATTTAAACTTACTTTTGGCTCTTTGAAGTTGAATTGAAATTTGTTAAAGTACTCAAAAAACGGCATGGTGGAATGTACCAGAAACATAAATGCAAAGGAAAAATATTTTGGGTTGATGAAAAACTGGCTATTCCCACAGAATTCTTTTGAATGAATCTAACTACCAATAATGTTTGATAATTTATAATCATGTATAACATGTTCTTTAAAGATACTGATTCTTTGTTTTATCCTACCTTTAATGAATGTTAATGTTGAAAATTTTTAAAATTATGTATTTTAGTATTTTTTTAGTCTTGTTACATTTGAGTAAGTGAAACAGGGCTACTTCAAAGCATTTGCCAGTCAGCTGATAAAGTTCCCTTTTAAAACAGAAAAAAGTGTTTTTGAAGTGAGGAATTGGAACAAATGGAGAGGTGTGGTTTTTGTTTCCTAGTGTAGCATTTGCGCACGGAGTTGTTAAACCTTCAAGTCTGTTACTTAGAACTTGTTAATGGACTTTAATTTCTTTAGCAACTGATTAATTTGCAGAGAAACTGTGATAGAGAGCCCTTGTCATAGGAGGTGTGCAGTTGTGCGGTTTTCTGGAGGGAAATAGGAACTGTGGCAGGATGTGAGAGGTGGCTCACAGGTATCAACTGGCCTTAACATTTAAGGAGAGTGTACCATCTGCTTATTTTCATTTTCCGCTTCTGATAACAAAAGACTCCAGTGCTTGTACTTTGTTATTGGTTAATAGGTGTCTGAAAAGGGTTGGTTGTTTATGGGAGCTGTTACGGTCTGGAAATGGTAGCTTTAAGATTAGTTTCAGGCCCTGCCTCTGACCCACACATATTGATACTATGTCACTTCCTTTTTTTTTTTAATGTAAATACCCTTTAGATTTTAATTTTCCATCTTTTTTTTTTTTTGAGCTCAGTGGATGTTAGTGGTTGGTAGACTGCGATAATAACTGTTTCACAATTTCTCCTTGAGGGTGGTTGTGAAGATAAAGGCTTATCATACTCCTTCCCTGTCCTAATATTACTGTGTATTCAGTTCCTGTTATTGATAGGGTTGTATGGACTGATTGCCTTCTTAGTGACTGAAGTGCTGTCTTCACCCATGTGTGGAGCCCTCTAGTGGTGACTGGTAGCAAATACTTTGAGCCTAGACATTTGAGCAAAGGAATAATACACAACTGGATAACTGAAAGTTGAGAAAATAAGCAGTTTCTTCACTTTTGAGTTGGGGTCTTGTGGTACTCATTTCCAACATGTCTCATCTCTTTCATGAAAGTTTTCATGACCACACTGACTTATGTATTTGTTTAACAAATATCAAACGAGTATGCATTGCCTGATACTCTGCTAGGCTTTTTTTTTTTTTTTTCATTCAGAGGAACTCAATTTCATGGAGCAAATAAAAAATAAAAAAGCCTACGTGCTTTCAGTGATGAGGAATACAGCCTTGAGGGGTGGCTGGGCTTCAGCATAAAAAGTGCATTCTTTACCCCTTGTAGACAATTTTACAGTCATTCGGTCTATATATTATATGTATGATTATTCTAAAAAATGTGGCTAAGCGATAGTAGCTCATACTAAGTACTCATTGGCTGTCAGCTACTGAGCTGACTGATTGGAGAATATTGTTCACGATGCACGAATGGGTTTATCATCCAGATGAGGAGAGTGCTGCTGGGAAAGGGCAGGAAGCTTGCTGGGCAGCTGTGAGGAGCTGGAGTAGGACGTAGTTGCTAATAGATGTTTAAACAGGGTGACATCACAGACTGTGTCTCATGAGGGAGGGGATAGTCCTTTTGTTAATAATGGATTCTAAGTGCTAGAACAGTACCTACAATACAGGTGCTCAGTAAATATTTTTTCAGTGAATGAATTTATTGAATGCAAGCCCTAAAGAAAAATACTTAATAGTTTAATGTCTGCTTTTCTGGACATCTAAAAAAATCTATACTATATATTTTATTTCATTTTTTTTTTTTTTTTGAATAGGCAATTCATGGTCCATAAATGAAAATACCCCTAAAAGGTATACAGTGAAAAGAAGTGCTCCCACCCCACCCCCTTCTCCCTATCTCAGATAATCGCTTGTCAGTAGTTTCTGGTGTTTTCTTCCAGTGTTTCTTATGCAGAAAGAATACACATATTATTTCACTCCTTTCTTAAATGAAAAGCCTGTGCACACTATTTGGACCTTTTTTTTTTTAAACTTACATACTTTTATACATGTGAGCTTGCATATGAAGCTATAATAGAGTTTTTTTTTGTGTTAACAAAATTATATTGCAAATTTCTGTTCTTGTTGATTCTTCTAGTTACACCTAAGAAACAGTATTTGGTTGTTGGTGAAAGATAGCTGTAGACCACTACCCATTAGACGTCCCTTGGAAAGGTTTTAGCTAATGTATCGAAATAAGGAAAATTTGGGGTATTACCTGTTTAAAAGCAGAATGCAGTTGGGACTTGGAGGAGATATTATTTAATGTTCATTAAACCCAGAGTCAGTTGGCAAGCAGAAGTTATAAATATCAAGTTGTCCAGTTAACATCCTCAAATCAGTAGCTGTATCCTTATACACTACGTGTTACCAGTATATCAGTAAAAAAAATCCCCGTCCTAACATCAGGAGCCCTAGGGTGTCTAGGAATTACATAAAAATGTCAGGATCCATATGAAGAAATTGTTACATTTTGTGGGAGGGTGTAATAAAAAGTGTACCCATCTTATGACCCAAATCATTTTTTCCTTATATTTTATAATTTGACTAATGTTAATAATGAATGTTTAACTGTTTTTTTTCTTAATGAAAACCTGTATCTTTTAAAATGTTTTTTGTTTTTATTTGATTTTCTAAAGGGATACTTTTTTCATTTTTTTATTCTAATTTTTAAAGTTGTTTTCCCACAGTATGTTTTTGTAGGTATAGGGATTCATCTCTCCCCTTCTTTCCTCACTCTTCTCTCGCCATTTTTTTTCTCCATGTTATCACAGTAGTATAGTCTCGAAGGGACACTTTTAGAGGTTTAATTTAAGGGTTTTGAAAGAATATCTTTGTTTGGATGCATGAAAAAGCTTAAGTTGTACACAGAAACTAGAACAATGGATTATTACTGCTTTGAAATATTGTCAATGAAGAATAATCATCTAATTGATGTTTCTGTGTAATACATGTTTTCAAAGGTTGACATGGGAGAATGAGGGCAGTGTTATGCTGGTTCTTAGTAGAAGAGGGAGTGTTGGCATGTTGGCTGTTTGTATTCATTAACAGCTCTAGAAGAGAAGCTAACGCTTCAGTTGGGTGGATTATCAAATCTTGCAGTAGTGTTTACTTGTCAAGTAGGGGCGTTTGCTAAATGTAAAAAGCAAACCCTAAAATAATTAACTCCAAAACAAATGGGGAGATGCTTGGAATGGAATTGGCATTATAAAAATAGTTTAGTTTGATTTTTTTTCATACAACAATGGAAACCATTCATAGTTTGTTCATGGAAATGTATGATGCTTTGCCAGCTAGAGTTTAGCGTTGTTCATTAGTCTGTAACCCTATAGGAGAAAGATGCTGATTGTTGAGTTTTTTCTTTTCCTTACTGTATATTTACCAAATATTCTTACTTGGATTGGGTTTCTAGAGGGAAATATCAGTTTGACTTACTAGGATTCTTCTAGTTCTAAACCTATAGGAGATATCCAGTACACTTAACTTTCAGAAAATGTGTTGGCTTAATGGTAATTCTGGAATTAAATAGCTGTCAGATCCACTGATGTCTCCACAATGGGGAATCAGCAAAAAATATCCAGCTGGCTTTCAGTCTCAGTATGAACTCTGAGCTGAATGCAGATCTTCCCAACCATTTGGGTTTTGCCTATTTTATTTATGTATTCAGGCTATTATTGCTTACAGATTTATCAGAAAACGGAGGAAGGCCTGTTGAAGATAGACCATTGCTGAAGGCTGCTATGATAGAGTCGAGCTTCAAATGTGAGAGTCTGACATAGAAAAAAATGTATTTGATGCCCATATTAATGGCTTTTGCTGATTTTAAAAAACCCTTAAATGAAAAAAATCTAAATTAGAGTTGTTTATATTGTAGTTAAATTTAGGTGTTGTCATATTGCTTATTTATGAGTTTTTTTCTAGGTATAGAAAATATGAAATTTAAAAATTATTTGATTTTCTACATAGCTCCACAAAGCATGCTGGTGAAGGATGAATATGTTCATGACTTTGATGGGCAACAACCGTTACCCACGGAAGGACATTCAATTCAGACCATCCAGCATCCACCAAGTAACCGTGCAGCAACGGAGACATACAGCGCCCCAGCCCTGTTAGCCCCGTCTGAGTCCAGTGCTGCCAGTACCACCAACTTTCCCAACATTCCTGTGGCTTCCACAAGTGAGTTGTAGCATCAGACATAGCAAGTTAAATCTCCAAACTATTCGGTTTTATTGGGTAGTCACTTGGAGGGAAACTCCAAAAAGTACAAATTAAAGATATTGTAGTGTCTTTCACCAGTCTCTAAGTGTTAAATATGTGTTTAGCTCCTCAGTTGTATCAGCAGTTGAGATGGACTGATGGTTTGTTAGATGCTTCTAAAGGGAGTGTTAATGTATGTATTTTAATAAGATCAAGGTCAGTGTGGAAATTTTTTGTCAGCACTTTTAAAAATATTTATTTGTTTTTACTTGAAAGGCAGATTTACAGAGAGAAGGAGAACAGAAAGATCTTCCATGTACTGATTCCCCAAATGGCCACAGTGGCCAGAGCTGAGCCTATCTGAAGCTAGGAGCTTCTTCTGAATCAGGGTCGCAAGGCCTTGGGCCATCCTCTACTGCTTTCCCAGGCCATAAACCGAGAATTGGAAGTAAGTGGAGCAGCCCGGACATGAATTGTCATCTGTACGGGTTACCTATGCTGCGTGCAGATTAGTGTGCTAGGCCACAGCACTGCCACCCACTCCACCCCCCATAGAAATTTTCATCTTGAAATAAGTACCGGACTGACTTCCGTAATTGAATTTTTTTTTTTTTTTTAGTGAGCTATTTCAAATTTTCCCATCTTAATTTCACTTTAAAGCAATATGTATTTAGCTTGTCATATACATTTAAGAGGTGACAGTCCCTCCATTGACAGTATATCTTAAGTGGATTATGTAGATTGAGTGCTTTTGCACGTTAATTACTCAATAATTTGATTATTAGGTTACCTGTTCACTTTTTATTTACTATTTTGGGAATATGATTGGTGTTGTTGGCAAATAGAAAGCACAGTGCCTCTGCTTGAGTGCATGTTAGTACTGGAGCATGGCCACGTGCCTGTGCTTCTGCTCTCAGAATTAACTTTCTATGTTTTATCAAAGTGACTGCAAGTGGTCGTTTTATTCTCTATGGCCGGGTCTTGTCTAAAGACCAGAAAGAGTGATACAAATGAAATGTATCTTGATTTTGTCTTGGTAACTTTTGGGAGTAGATTTCCATAATAAAATACTAAGTACTATAGATTTTAGAACTTGTGGCGAATGGTCCTATAGATCTCAAAGGTGTATCATATCAGAAGAGAAAAAGCAGGTCTGGAGTGGAGTAATGGAAACCTGTTTCACATGAGTTGATTGAGTTATTTTGGCACCTGAGAAATTCCCCCAAATGGCTATATGTGAAAATCACTTAGTTCTTTAGTAACAGTTTTTCTAAGTTATCTGAGAGCATATAGCATGTATTATTGATTAAAACAAAGAAAAAAAAAACATAAGTAACTCTTCAACATAGCTTATAGACTTTTACCAAGGGCAGGAAAAGGGGTTGCAAAAACTGTCATCTTTAGAAATAATTTTGAAATTATTGAAATGCTTTATTTTGCTTTGTATAATTCTTAGATTTAAGGAGATGCAGTACTGCAGGAGGAGAAATATTCCTTTTCCTTTATACTTTGAGGAATGGTGACATTTACTTTCTTCCAGCTGATTAAATTCTTGTTTAGCTGAGAAAATTATAATGTGATACCAGTGATAACAGTTATGAAATTTCAGTGCTTTTCAAATGAGTTTGGCAACTAATGCTTCCCTTGGGTCGAGTGTTGTGGTGTCTGGGTTAAGCCACTGTCTGCAAGGCTTATATCCAATATGATCACCTGGTTTGAGTCCTGATTTCTTCACTTCCAATCTAGCTCCCTGCTAATACTCCTGGGAAGGCAGCAGAAGATGACCCACGTGCCTGGGCCCATGCTACCCACTTGGAGGACCCAGATGGAGTCTCTGTCTCCTGACTTTGGCCTGGCCTAGCCCTGGTTGTGGGCCATTTGGCCAGCAAACCAACAGATCTCTTTCTTTCACTCTCCTCTCTCTTTGTAATTCTGCCTTTCAAATAAAGAAAGTGAAATAAAGATTAATGCTTACCTGAATAACTCAAGATTTTTCCATTTTGAAAAGAGGTCTTAGATGAGTGTGCCACAGCAGTTAAGGCACTTCTTGGGATGCTTGCATCCAGGATTGGAGTCCAAGTTCCACTCTCAATTTCAGCTTCCTGCTAATGTGCCCCCTGGGAGGCAGCAGGTTTTGTTTCTAGTACTAGCATCACCGCAGCTGAGGGAGACCAGGATTGAGTTTCTGATTCCTGGCTTTGGCCTGGCTTGGTCCTAGCTGTTCCACCCAGCAGTGGATGAACAATCTATCCCTGGCTCGCTGTCTTTCTTCTCTGGTTTTCAGATAAAATGGAAATTATTTTTGGAAATCTGTTTTAGGACCTGGCATTGTGGCAAGTTAAGCTGCTGCTGCCTGTGATGCTGGCATACCATAAGAGCTGGTTGGAGTCCTGACTGCTGCATTTTCAATCCAGTTCCCTGCTACTGCACCTTGGGAAAGCAGCAGATTGTGGCCCATGTTCTTAGGGCCCTGACCCATATGGGAGACCTAGGTGGAGTGCTGGGCTCCTGGCTTCCTCCTGGCCCAACCTTGGGTTTTGAGGCCATTTGGGGAATGAGCCAGCAGGTAGAACATCTTTTTCTTTTTATCTCTCTCACTTGCTGTCTCTTCTCTTGCTCCCTCTTTCTGTGTAACACTGCCTTTAAAATAAACAATTAAAACAATCTTATTTACAACAATTAAAATTGTTGCGGAAGACTTTAAAATGGTAAATAACAGTATATAGTTTTTTTTTTTAGTTGAAGCAAAGCAGAAGCTTTGTTCTTCTCATTTATTACACAGAGAGAAGGCAATTGATTGTATGTAAATCTGGGAATCTTGTGTTCTTGAAAAGATGTGATTCTTCATTTTGTAAAGCACATTAAAAAAGGTCAAAGTGGACCAATAGGTGTTTTGTTTGTTTTTCATCAGTCAATACTGACTTGGTAGTGAAGCTAGTTTTCCTTAATTTTGTCACCTTCCCCATCACATCCTATTTAAAATGTTTGCTTGTTTGCTTTTTCTTTTACCAAAACTTAGCATTTCTTGATTCTGGAGTTTTTAAATCCTGATCAGGAGATTCCAGAAGAGAGCAGGATAGAATGCCTAGGGAATGAATTGATGTAATTCTAAAATACAGTGGCATTTTGCTAATGTTTGAAGATTATTTGTGAATAGCGCATTACAATTAGCTAATACTACTTATAAGAAGTAATGTTGAACTTCCAGTTAAGATGTGCCTGGATGATTTTAGGGATTTTTCTGGTTTGTTTGTTTTTGCTTTCATAGGCCAAAGAGTTCCACTCTGCCCATCTATAACTGTGAACTGTCATATATGATTGGTCCTTCGTTTGTTAAAGAAAACCGTAGACTTGCATCTATAAATGTACCATGTCATGTCTTCTTGTTCCTCTAGGTCAGCCTGCCAGTATTCTGGCAGGCAGCCATAGTGAAGGACTGTTGCAGATAGCTTCAGGGCCTCAGCCAGGACAGCAGCAGAATGGATTTACTGGTCAGCCAGCTACTTACCATCATAGTATGTACATACTTTTTAAAATCTTTTAAATAGTTGAGATAAAAAAAAATAGGCAGACTTTATAAAAGCAAATTAATCCATGTGGGCCTTGATTTTTAGACAGCACTACTACCTGGACTGGAAGTAGGACTGCACCATATACACCTAATTTGCCTCACCACCAAAACGGCCATCTTCAGCACCACCCGCCTATGCCGCCCCATCCCGGACATTACTGTAAGCTCTTGTTTTTGTTGTAAGGGCTTTTTCTTTTATAGGACTTTGTTTTATTTCTATTTTAATTGTTTTTACATCTTTTATTTATGCCATAATCTACTTTCATTGAATAATGGTTTTCAATATTTTTTGTTAAACAGTATCATTATTTTTTAGTTAATCACAGTTTTGCTTTAGAGGAGTGCTGTTTGCTAAATTCGTTTATTTCTTTGTTGCTAGTACTTCATTCACACCACATTGATTTCCATTCATTTGTTTGTATGTGTTCCTTATCCATCCATAGTAGTTGACACCTGCCCCTCCAACCCTTGAGTGCTAAAATTCAAGGTTTCCCTTACCATCATGTTCACTGGGCCATAGATACTCAGATAATGAATCTATTGATAATCTGGGTAGGTGTGATTTGGGTGGACTCACCTAGAGATACCCTGAAGACCCAAGCAGAATAGGAAAATTGTCCATTTGGCTTATTTGTTCAATGAAAATCATGTAAATAAATCTTGTATATATTTAAAACCCCTTTTCTTCTCACTGTAAGATTAGTAGTACCAAAGAAAACTTGGAAAATATGGGAAGATGCAAATAGGAAAGTTAAAATTAACCAGATTCCTACTGTACAATATACATACTTGTAATATTTTGTTATTTTTCTTTCCGGGCAAATAGATGGGTATTTGTAAATTAGGGATAGGAAAGAGAGGATAAATATGTATATTACTATATTCTGCTTTTTTTGTAGTCATGCTAAGTTTTCCATGTCTTTAAAGAATATAACTTTCGATGATTGCTTGGGTCACTGTAATGGTTGAAAGTGTTAAGTTTGGATCCTTAACTGGCTATGTAATTATGGCAATTTATTTAACCTTGTTAGGCCTCAAAGGTAGTAATAACAGTGTCTGTTTCAGAGTATTGGAGGAAATAAACTTGGCAATTCATACAAGGTGTTTAGTGCAGTATATTAACACATAATACACTCTATTATGTTAGCTATATGTTTATATTCCACTATATAGTTATCTTAAAAATAAATAGTTTTAAGAGTACACTTAACATTAAAAATTATTATACTTTCATTGTATTATAAATTATCCTATATTATATGTTTTATGCAATTATTTATTTATGATCTGCATTAAGTATTCCATGTTAAACTATTTGTACAGTACTTGCCAGCCCTTGGCAGATAGCACCCGTTAACTGTTAAGTATCTACAAAGGTAGTCAAGACTATTTGCTTATTGTAACTATTGAGTATTTAAACTACTTAGTTTTTAAGTTCTTTTAGACCTTGTATAAACTTGATCTAAATGACTCCTATGTAGGATAGTTATGTTTAGGTCAAGTTTATTGAAAGTTTAGCACTGAAAAACTTTTAATAAATGCATGTGGGATTTTTATTGTCTTTTCTTTAGGGCCAGTTCACAATGAGCTTGCATTCCAGCCTCCCATATCCAATCATCCTGGTAAGTGTATTTCAGAATTGATCCCCCCTGGATGGCTGTTTATGTTGAGGCCTGTTAGCTCCTCGGGATTAGGTGATAGTGTTAACTCCTTAAGTATATATATATACATATACATATGTACATGTATATATATATATATATACATACACATAGTATCTACACTGGGGTTCCAGCCTGTCTTTGCATACAATAAGGAAGTGACTCAGTGGTGAGAATGGCTTTCAGAAGATCTCTGGGTGATGGCAGGAGGGGATTAGTTCTGCTGCTCTTTGGCTGTGGGCACTAGTGGGTCCCTGTGGAGTTTCACCTCAGCCGTCTCCTTCGTTTCTCCTTACAAGAATATTGTTAAGTCGTCTTCCTGTTTTTGAGCTTCCAGTTTAGTTAGTTTCTTCCTTACCAGCTAATCTCTGTTGCTACTTGGTACTGCTTTCTTACAAATTTTGGATGCAGTTACATTATTGCTCCGCCTAAGATCTTATATTAATTCCCCACACGTTGCTTGGTTATATGATAAAGTCCGAAGTGCTTAGCTAACAAGAATCTGTGGTCCTGGTCCCTGCAGACTTCCATAGCCTCATCTCTTTATCAGTCTGTACCATTCACCTTAACTTACTAGGTATGTTATCCCTCTCCACTTTTTTTGTGTAAGCTGTTCTCTCCCTGATTACTTTGTACTCTGTGCTGGTTTATGTGTTCTGCAACACATCATCACAAAACTTAGCAAGTTTCAGTAGCACTTTTTTACATCAGCTAGTTTTTGTCATAGGGATTTGAAAGTGGTTTGAGTGAGTAGTTCTGACTCAGTGTCTCAGGAAGTCACAGTGATGTTGGCAGCTAGGCCTTGTCATCTGATCAAGGCTTTTGGGATTTGGAGGATTCACTTTCAAGGTGGCTTAGTAGCATATATGGCAGGTCAGTGTTATTGTTGGCAGGAAGCTCTGATTTCTTTCCTTGTAGACTTCTATAGAGTTGTTGGAAGGCTTCCCAACATGGCAGCTACTGGATGATTGGGACAGGGTAAACAACCTCAGTGTTTTTTACAGAAGTTCCATATGAGAGGTCCCACACAGGCTCAGAGAAAGATGGGACTCACTGGGGCCACCTTTGAGTGCTGGGGACCGTGTCCTCTGCTGTCATTTAAGTATGTCCCCAAAAGTCTATGTGCTGGAAGCTGGTTTCCTAGGATTGCAGTGTGAGGTGACTAGATCATGTGTACCTAAAAATTAGTATGGTTATTTCAGGAATGTAAGTTCTCATGAAAGCAAATTATTACAGAGCAAAGGCCCGTTAATTTTGACAGGTTTCCCTATTTGCTTCTCTACTGTGGTGTGACATAGCTGGGGGCGAGAGGCCCTTGCTAGATTACAGTGACATGCTGTTTGGACTTTCCAAACACGTGAATTGGGATTCAGGTAACCTCTTTTTTTTTTTTTTTTAAAGATGTGTTTATTTTTATTGCAAAGTCAGATATATACAGAGAGGAAGAGAGAGAAATATTTTCCATCTGATGATTCACTCCCCAAGTGATTGCAACGGTTGTGCTGTGCCGATCCAGAGCCAGGAGCCCAGATCTTCTTCCAGGTCTCCCACGCGAGTGCAGGGTCCCAAGCCTTTTGGGCCGTTCTCGACTGCTTTCCCAGGCCACAAGCAGGGAGCTCGATGGGAAGTGGGGCTGCCAGGATTAGAACCAGTGCCCATACGGGATCCCGGTGTGTGCATGGTGAGGACTTTAGCTGCTAGGCGATGGCGCAAGGCTTGGTAACCTCTTTTCTTTATGAAGTATTCTGCCTTGACTGTTTTGTTGCAGCAACACAAATCAGGTTAAAACACATCCCCTGCCTCCTCAACGTATGACTCTTGGCAATCCTGTTTTTTTTTTTTTTTAACTTATTTTTATTGGAAAGTCAGATATACAGAGAGGAGGAGAGAGAGAGAAAAAGTTCTTCTGTACTCTGACTCAGTTCCCAAGTGAGTGCAAGGGCCAGAGCTGAGCCAATCCGAAACCAGGAGCCAGGAGCTTCCTCCATGTCTCCCACATGGATGCAAGGTCCCAAGGCCCCGGGCTGTCCTCGACTGCCCTCCCAGGCCTCAAGCGGGGAGCTGGCTAGGAATCAGGGCTGTTGGGATATTAATTGGCACCTTCATGGGATCTTGGTATGTGCAAGGCAAGGACTTTAGCCACTAGGCTACTGTGCTGGGCCCAAGCCTTTTGTTTTGTTTAATTTTTATTTTTTGTGGCACAGTTCCTTAGGCTCAGAGATTTCCCCTTCTACTCTTACTTTTTCCACCCCCCACTGCTTTCCCCTAAATTATTACAATAGTATAGTCCTTCAACAGCAGTTACAAGTCTATTAATAAGTGTATCCTCACTTTGCAGATAATGATAGAGTCCAGCATCCTATTATTAAGATATATTGAACAGTTTCAGTGGGAGTCCATCTTTTATTCAGAAGTAGAGATGCATATTGTTATGTATTTTCACGTCTCACTATACTTTGACAAGCCTTTTTGAATCCCTTGTCCTTGCCACCTAATTGTACTTAATCATAGTTACCAATTCACAAGTGTACTATGCTTGTTGAATGAATAAATAGAAAAAGGCACAAATATGAATGTTTGTGTTAGTATGTGGTTAATTCAGCATTTTATGGTATGATGGAAAAACATGCACAACATTATATCATGCTGAAGACCCTTTAAATGGGAAATGTGCATATGTTTCTGAATGTTGTTTTAGTAGGAATCATCAATCATACAGAGTGACTCTAGAAATTATTTCTTAGAGTATTTATATGTTTCATATATTTTTTTAAAAGATTTATTTGTTTTTATTGAAAGGAAGATATATAGAGAAGAGAGACAGAGAGAAAGATCTTCCGTCCAATGATTCACTCCCCAAGCGACCACAAGAGCTGAAGCTGTGCTGATCCAAAGCCAGGAGCCCAGATCCTCTTCTGGGTCTACGCACAGGTGCAGGGTTCCAAGGCTTTGGGCCGTCCTTGACTGTTTTCCCAGGCCACAAGCAGGAGCTGGATGGGAAGTGGGGCCGCCGAGGTTAGAACCAGTGCCCATATGGGATCCCGGTGAGTGCAAGGTGAGGATTTTAGCTGCTAGACTACCACACCTGGTCCGGATTTCTTTATTTCAAAGACAGATTTATGGGGAGAAAAAGAGGCAGAGAGAGGGGGTCTTATCCACTGACTCATTCCTGAAATATCTGCAATGGCTAGGAACCAGGAGCCTCCACTGGGTCTCCCGCATTGGTGCAGGACCCCAAGGGCTTGAGACATCCTCTGATATTTTCCCAGGCCATAAGCAGGGAGCTATCAGAAGTGATGCCCATATGGGATGCTGTTATTGCAGGTGAAGGATTAGTCTGTTGAGCCACCATGCTGGCCCCAGGTTACATGTTAAGGAAATATGTAATAGTGGTAAGACATATAAAGATAATAGTTCTTTCTTATACATAATTTCAGTTGCTCATGGTCAACTACAGTCCAAAAATGTAAAATGCAACATTCCAGAAATAAATAATCCATAAATTACAAATGGCATATTGCATTGATACATGTTTTATTAATCTTTTCACTATAGCTAATTTTTAATTTTCTTGTATAAAAAATCATACATAACAAGATTCAGTGTTACTTGAATGGTTTTGATCTGAGATATCAAGGGCTTCATTGCATCGGGGTTAAGAAAATTTTTCCAAAGTCTTTTGCCTAAGTCCACTTTAGTGACTCCTCAGGCTCAGGAGCATGTTGCAAAGCTTGGCCAGGAGAATTGTCCAACCTTCTCTGCTTTCCATCTGATGCATCACTCAGTGTCCTCTGCTGGTCTGGCTGAGCTGGCTGTCATGTCACTTGTGTACATCTGGGCATGCTGTGTACTGCACAGGCATCAGCAACTCGGGAGGCAAGCCGTTTCCCAACATATGTTCTCCAAGATAAGACCACATATATTTTGATTTTCAGGATTTAATTCCAGCAGTCTAGTTGAGGAGTCCTCCCAAGAAAACTTGCCTGGGTGACCTCAGACTTGACTGTTGTGTGCCAGTCAGTGCAGGATCAGATTCAGTCTATTATCTGCACCAGCCAATGCACACACTGATGGGTGCAGCTACCTGGTCAGTTCAGCCCCATCTCTCACATAAACTGATAGGTGCTGTGGTCTAGCCCAGTCCAGTCCACCACAGGCCCTGTATTCATGCATGCCAGTGGGTACCATGGCTAGTCAGGGTGACTGCCTATAAACTCCACCAGGCTTGTGCCTAACCCCAATTTTTGCATGTGTTGGCATGTGTTGCAACCTAGCCTGGCCTATTCAGCATCCCATCTGGCTCTTGTTCACACCTGTGGTGCTGCAGATTAGCTCAGCCAAACCCTCCCCCAGTCCCAGCTCGTATTTTTGCCTTTGGGTGCTGCCAATGTTTGCTGCCACCTTGAACAGCCTGGCCTACCCCCAGCCCTGCTTTTCATTTTTACCAGCTGGAGCTGCAGCCCAGTGGGGGGAATACCACACTGGAAAGGAAAAGACCTTCTCCCAGCCCTGGATCTTGCACCTGCCAGGGATTCTGTGGTTTACTCTGACCTGATATGCACCCAGTCCTGGCACTTAGAAGCAGGTGTGGGTAGCCTAACCCAGCCTGGACTGCCTCCAGACACAGTCAGCTGACAGCAGCTGATGGGTACTGCAGCCCTGCCCACACTTGCCTGCACCCAGTCCTAGCTGTCACATTACTACTGGAAATAGTGGAAATAGTGGCTCAGCAAGAGAGTCTCCAAAGCTCTCCTACCAAGCCTGTTCCCAGCCCCAGATCTTATGCATGCTCATGGACATTGCAACATAACCCAACTGGGTATAGCCCACACCCTATCCTACCTCTGTGTATGCCAGTTGGTGCTACAGCTCTATAGCCCTGCCTGGCCTGGCCCATACCCAGTTCTCAGTCTAATGCTCCCCAGTGGGAGCTGTAACCTAGCATAGGAGTTCCTCAAGGT